AAAAGACATGAATGAACATGCATAGGCAAAAACAATCGATTTTTTAAATCACCAATAGATTTTTAGTTTTCAGGATTTTTTTTTTTACCAAACTTTGTATAAAGATAATTCTCAACTATGCTATAACAGAATGATTTGATATACCATTTGTCTTTATGCAAAATGTGTGTAAAATGGCCATAAACAGCTTTTCTCATTATATATAATGTATCCATAAACTAAATCTAATTTGCATATTAATGTGTTTTTGGGGCAACATGTAATGAAAAAGTAGTATAATAATGGGAGTAATAATTGACAAGATTTTCATAATAATATATAATATTTCATAGGAATATTGAAATATAATTTCTTTCCCTATTCATTTGTTGTGTCTCCCAAAATGTGTAATACACACGCTTTTACTCCCGGTGTCCTCATATGAGGACGTGTATGAAATCAACGTCCTGTTTCGTAACAGAAAGTCATATTTTGATTTGAAACCCCATAACATTTTCCTGAGATGTTGATTTATGACACACAGTTTAAAAATTTGTCAGATTTAAATTATAATGACTAAATATGATCATATTTCCATAAGAGTGTCACTAAAGTAATATCAGACATTTTTGAAGACCAAAGAGAGGGAGTGGTCATAGTGAAACATCCAAACATTTACCGTAGTATCTCTGAAAAGCCCTGAATGTGCTCTGTACAGGACATCCAGACTTCAAACTGTGGCATGTATAGTCTCAGAGAAATTCACTAAAATATAATGTCCTCATATGAGGATGCAGGGTCTCAGGATGTTAAGATGTTTGAAAGAGAATCAACAACATATGACCATCTGCAAGAAACACATGATCAATTACACTCATTTACTCACATTTGTTAGTAACCTATAAATAGTGCACAACCCAAAATGTTTCCTCGTCTTTTTATGACATAACTTGTTTTTATTTTAAAAGCTTAATAATTGCTCTTGGTGGGAGACCAAAGGGCATTTCAATGGAGTAAAAACCTAGGCACTAATCTTGAATACACCTTGGACATTACAGTTAATGAATGAGTCACAGATTGCATTAGACCTGCATGTACTCATTTAGCAGATGCATTTGTCCACAATGTCTAATTTGTAAGGAGTAATGCCTAATGAATCGTAAAGCAAAAATGTGAGAATACAAGTTTGGCAGCTGAAC